ATCCACATTCAGCGCTCAAAACTTGTGTGACCCATTATAACTAAGAGTTATTCGACGTGACATTAAAATAGACAAAACCACATCCTCATAACAAGCTTCATAATATCAACCTATGTTTCAATGTTTATGAAGTGAGACTAGTGAGGCTCATTCTAACCCGGACCTTCACGGGTTCCAAGTAGGAAGAAATAAAGTTCTTGAATTGAGCCAACAATTGGCTATACCTACTTGGGCTGCCAGTCAAGGTATTGAGGTAATTTTACAACGATGTCATATTGGCCACATTCGCTTTACTCATGACTATCTGCTTTGAGCGTATGGGGATGGACCTCCCATGTGTGTCTCTTGCGATGAAGTGTTCACCATCAAGCATATTCTAATTGACTGTGTGGACTTTTCGACTGCATGGGTTTCACATTATCAGAAATAAATCTGAAAGATCTGTTTTCCCGCGTGAGCGGGCATGTTATTGTTAACTACCTGAGGGAAGTTGACCTGTATCATAAATTTTAACTATGCAATGTAAATATTATATTAACGAATTGCTTGCTTTTGAATTTGGTGCTATGCTTTTTTCCTTTTTTAAAAATAATAATGAAATGAATATAAGTGTCTATTAAACGGGACTCATTTGGACTTTGTGCTTGACATATTTATGAACGCAGACTTGCTCCCGTCGCTATATAGTTGGAATAATGCCGATTTGACGTAGAGCCCAACTCAACTCGACTCAACTTCTTCTACATGGCTGCGGTCTGTAAGTTGTGGACATTGCATCAGATAATTCAGTACTAGACACAATCACCGATCTACGCAACTGGGATATATTATCATGCATCAACCAAGTCAGTGAGCCAGTCAGCCCGTTATTCCCCTGCTATGATGCGAGCCCGTTATTCCCCTGCTATGATGTGAGCATGATCACCCGGTCCCGTTATTCGCCTGCTATGATGTGAGCATGACCACCCGGTCCCGTTATTCCCCTGCTATGATGTGAGCATGATCACCCGGTCCCGTTATTCCCCTGCTATGATGTGAGCATGATCACCCTGGTCCCGTTATTCCCCTGCTATGATGTGAACATGATCACCCGGTCCCGTTATTCCCCTGCTATGATGTGAGCATGACCACCTGGTCCCGTTATTCCCCTGCTATGATGTGAACATGATCACCCGGTCCCGTTATTCCCCTGCTATGATGTGAGCATGATCACCCGGTCCCGTTATTCCCCTGCTTTGATGTGAGCATGGTTTGCTGAAGTCCATTTCTAACCCGGTTCAATATAGTGCTTAGAGGAAGACCAAGCGGCGCGCTGATATCGGAGGGAGAAGTTCTGTCAGTACAAACGAGGAAAATCTGTTGATGTCGCAAAAAAGATCTACCTCTTCAGCTAAAATATATAATCAAATATATGTCACTTGACTGCATCTTTTTACTCTATCATTTTCTCGCTTCCAATAATGTGTACAGGACATTGTTGGCACATGCAAATAACTGATCCCCACACTCCCAATAACACATTCTTGGAACAACCACTGTATCACGCCACCTTCCATGGCCCAGTTAATCTGTCAATAATGGTATGTATTTATGCCCCTATGCTTCCGTTGTGGTAAGATCGTATATTAACACAAAGCAATATGCCAAGCGCACTGAAAAAGCGTGCATTGAGCCAGACTCGTCTTCTATTATTTTGAGAATGATTGCTTGCAAACGAGGTCTTTTCATGTGATATTTAACTTAGGAGCAGTGGCATCGTGCTCAGTCATCACTTAGTCGGATTCTGTCTCGGAAGGCGTGGATACTAGGGCTGTGCGATATTACCGGTATATACCGGTACAGTATCTCGCGATACGATTATCGCGATATGGTTCAGATAATGCAATACATTGGGTCATCCAGAGTTAGCTCCCTTTGCTTTATCTGTAACCCTTATATATAGTGCAACCCTTGCCAAAAGTAGTCAATATTTTCAGAACACAAACCCTTGAACCCCCACATGGCGAAGCAGAGTATTTATCCAGCAGTTGTTCTCTGTGCGTCCTTTGTAACGATGCTTTGTGGACCAAAAATTGTATATGCAAACGGAGTAATCCACGTATCATTACTGGAAAGATTCCAGGATGATGCGACGATGACAGCATGCGTAGGATCTCTCTTTTCCTGTATGTTCACTCTCACAGGTATGGAAGTGACGAAATAAAAAGCCCATTGTGTTACTTATGTCAGTTTCATTAACCAATGCTCATGGTTTACTTTCAAACTGTTCATACATTTTTCCTAGACCCGTCAAGATCCGGGATAGAATTGATTTTCAGTAACCCATGCTTATCGAAAGAGGCAACTAACGGGATCGGGTGGTCATGACACATGCCATCGTATCCCAATCGCGTAGATCGATGTTCATGCTGTTGATCCCTGGGTTGTCGGGTCCAGACTCTATTATTTACAGACCACCGCCATGTAGTTGGAATATTGCTGAGTGCGGTGAAAAACTTAAGTCACTCAGTCACATATTTCCTGTCTATTTCAGGACCAAATGCCAGCATGGTCATTAACGTGTTTGACTGCAGAACGTGTGTGGTGAACACGAATTTGTTCAGAAACGTCATATATAAAGTTGGTATGCGTAAACCGTGTCATGAATTGCTATTCTCTTTGTCTCACTTCACAAACCTTGAAACAAAGTTTGATATTATGAAGCTTGTTATGAGGATGTGGTTTTCCTTATTATAATGTCACGTTGATTAAATCTTAGTTATTATGGGTCACACAAGTTTTGAGCGCTGAATGTGGATTTGAACTCAAACATTGTATTGGACTTAGGTGATATATGTCTTCGGTAGGATTCTGAAAATTCTGAGAAGATGGTGGTGTGGCAATATTCGAGAATTGTATAATAGGTACATAAAGAATTGTTGCTGATGTGTAAAACGGGGACGACTTTGGACTTGCTCATCTGTCTGCTAACATTGACGTTTCAAGACCGACCACTAAAGAGGCCTTGTCTACATTGAACTTTAAAAAGCTGTCAACGAACTTCAATCAGCATATCTACAGGGATCAAGACTTTGGTGACTATAGACATTTAGTCAATATTTTAGACTAGTGACCCAATTGTATTGTATCAGAAATCTGTCATTCATTGTAACTTTGCTTTTTTATATATTATATAATTGAATATTATAGACTCGTCTGTGTGTTATTTTGCTGGTTTAAAGGAGACTTACAAGCTTTTTATCACACCAATATCTAAACCGTAACAAGCTACTATGATACCAATTCTCTTTCAAAAGCACACGTTCAGCCTTAACCATACCTTTGTTTGTTTGTTTAACACATTGATCATTTTTCCAGATATATGGCGTCGGTCCGTGAGTAATCAAGCCTGGACAAATCAACTCAGTGATTGGCATCAAAAGCATCGATCTGCACAGTTGGACATGACATTCATTAATCAAGAGCAGGCCTGACTATCCCATTTGGCGCCTCCTACAATGAGCGTGGGCTCTGACCCAATCTTCACTGCGTTTGATCATATCTGTCGTACAAATTTCTTTGACATCTCAGGCGACTGGAACATCCATGGACTAACAGGCGACAGACAATAAGTAGAAGTTCATGTCTCCATAGCTGCCAGATGAAGGTCCTCCCCTGACTATTGGCTCTCAGTATTAGCCTTTCCACTACCAGTTAGAATGTTTCTGCTTGCTGTCACTTCATCCAATCATGCTGGTAATAATACCGTCATCGCATCCCTTGATAAATTGATAGACAAAAGCGTCGCTTCAGCACATGACAATCTACCTGTAGCCACAATTATTTTCCATACAGAACACAACAATCGCTTCTGGCCTTACTTCGCAAGCGCCATTATGGTTGGTTTACAAAGACAGAATGCGGTTGCTGGCTTTATTGTAAATGTGTATTGTACATATCATGACATAAGACTGTACAACATTTACATCAACAACGACAAAACTGAGAAGAAGCGTGTTGGAGAACTGCCACAAAACGAACCTTTCTGCATTAAATCAAGGTGAGTTTGACTTAAAACTCAACCGAGTTATCAGCCAGGCGATGACATGTAAGTGTAAAGTCACTATTCCCTTCAACGCGAATAGCACACGTTGTCATTATACAACTACCGACATAAATCATGAACTCCAGTCTGTGTCATTGGAGTTCACAGACGCACAATCTGCAACGTCACATACAGGCTGATCACTCTTCCAATATTAATGGCTCTAACAACTAACGTGAGGTACTGAGACCATCTATCGTTGTATATAAACAGGACAGGTCCTGGTGATTGCTGAGTTTCAGTCCAGTTCTGTACTTCACATGCCATAAATGTATTCATACTCTATGTAGAGAGCGTTTGATACTCAATCACAAACAAAACCTGATTGGTCACGATGAATTACTATGTAGAGTTCCATGGTAAAAGTAGCAATCGTTGTTGACATGAATGTACGGGGCCATGAAAATGGAGCTGTAAATATTTTCAATAACAATGAATTACTATGTAGAGTTCCGTGGTAAAAGTACCAATCGTTGTTGACATCATCAATGTACGGGGCCATGGAAAGGGAACTGTGATTATGTCACTTTGAATGAGCATGAGCATAATAACACACTCACTTCTCAACAACGTACTGTTACTATTGCTGCCCGCTTCAATATACTGATTGTCAAGATACTGTACATCAACAAAATCAAAATAACATACTTTCTTCTCAAAGAACGGGTCAGCACGACACTGAACAAGATCACAACAAAAATAACAGTGAGTGAGTTTAGTTCACTCAGTAATATTCCACTTACATGGCAGCGGTTTGTAAATAATCGAGTCTGGACCAGACAATTTAGTGATCAACTGTTTGAGCATTGAGCAGTTGGGATACGATGACATGTGTCAACGAGCCTGACCACCCGATCCCGTTAGTCGTCTCTTAAGACAAAGCATGGCTTACTGCAGACCAATTCTAACCCGGGCCATGAAAATAACGACATATTTATGTTACCCGCTTCAATAAATGGTCATGAGTTCACATCAACATGATCAAAATAACATACTTTCTCCTCAATGAAACACGTCTGTTACCCGTTTCAGGGTACTGATCTTCATGATCAAAATAAAATACATTCCTCTATGTTATATCCTTCAATATGTTCACAACACAGCCTTGACTTTTCTCTTTCAGTTGTTTGTACCAATGCTTTTGTTACCCACTTCAGTACAATCATCCCCACAGTTTTCCTTTGATTCAGTTGCTGGCATCAGTACAGCTTCTGCTGCTGCTGCAGATGGTTTGTCATCACAATACTCGCTGGATGTTTGTTTCATTTCAATCATAGGTTTTGATGGTTGTAGTAATTCCACTTCAGTATCACATTTATTGAGAGGTACTGTCACCTTTACATGGGAGTCCTTTGTTCGCGGTTGTGTCTTCTTGCTGAGAGTTGACAGAAATCCTAAGACCGTGGCCGAGAAAAACATGGCACCTAAACAGAAACATTCGAACGACTTTGAACTTTAACAAGAACTAGAATGCTATTATAGGTGTTGTTGACTAACGATTTTACTATCAGAAAACGAAATAGTTGCATGCAGCAGTAGGACAACGGAACGTATTATGTCATTGAAGCATATAAAATTTAATATATTCATTTTGGATACGCAACTGATGTTGACTGATGTCTATTGATGACTTTTGTAACTGGTCTGATAATGCTCATATGTGTCAGGTGATATAAAATACGTCGTGTCGCAAATAATCACATAGTTTGTGAAACTGAAACCTAAAAGTACATGTTTTTCTCACTCACTGACTCCTTCCAAAGCAACTAATAAGTCATTTCACATCTTTCATTGACATCACTGACAATACATCACTGACGTGAGAAAGAACATTACTTCTTAACTGGGTATATTACCCCGGACATACCAGAAAGGAGAAAAACGCTGTAGTACGATCCGCTTGCTTCTACTATGGCTCCTGAAACAGTCAAGATACGCGCACACAGATCATTTAAGAAGAAGAATGTTAAGAAAATGTCATCTCAACTACCAATCTCTTCGTTGTTTTTCCATTGGTCTTAAAGCAATTTCGAAGATTTGGAAGACATGAACATAAATTCGTACGATGACTTTCTTCTTGTTTCTTACGACGTTCCAGCACCACAAGTATCTGTGAATAGTCGCTACAAGGAATAGCTATCATCCTAAGCTTCAAATTAGTCCTACATGAAGTGAATATCCATATAATTAGCAACAAAGGGTCAAAATCGTATAGTTGTCAACTTCCGTGCCATGAGCAACATGGCTCAGAATATGCTCTGAGGCGTCATCTCCCGTGACAGATTGTTCCTTTATGTGCATCACTTCTAAATGTCAGTTGGAGGTGTTATGTAGTTACATGTCTACATACAACATCCCTTGAACAGGTCTTGTCACCTGATGAGACACATGTTCACACAGCACACATGCTTAATAGTAAGGTGTGACGTTAAATAATAACTCACTCACTCACTTAATAGTAAGGAATACACTTTAGCTGATACTACGTTTCCTAAAATCAATAAATGCAACTCGACTTCAAAATGAAGAGTATTTCTGTCTTGTTGTGGGAAGATGTCATAGTGGCTGCATAGTACGCAACAATTGTGAAAGAAAATACAATTGTAAATGTATCACAACTTGTTTGATTGTTCCTATGATGTACAATATAATATTTCTCTTTATATCTGCCTTCTAGACCTATTTGATCATTCAGATATATACATCCATACATAAATGATATCCCCGTGTGTCTGTACAGTGTTTGTTTGTTTCATGTATGTGTTATTTACTATTTCATATTATCTCAAATTAGTTTAAATAAAATGTGATAACATAGATGTTCTACTGTCCTTTGACGTCATTATTTGACACCGATTGGGTATATCGAACATTGTCGTATAATTTTCTCTCTTCACCATATGGCCGAAATATTGCTGATGTGACGGTAAATTGTAACTCACTCACTCGTGTAAGTGTACGTACCCGCAATAGGAGGACCTGTAAGATAGCCGACTCCACAGGAAAATAAAGCTGCACCCACACCAGTGGCGAAGTCTTGAATGCCAAGAAATTCAAGTGTTAGAGTGTTGAGGAGAACCCATATTCCTCCGCTATACAATCCAAGAATGAAGCCATAAAGTATTCTCAGAAATGAGGATGTGTTGAACAGTGGCAGCATGAAGGTAAAAATTGCTATTATACCATTCAGAGAGGAATACATTGTGGCACTTGCAATCTTTTCGTCGTTCAGAGCAAATCCAATTAGAATCCGAGAGACAATACTTCCCAGGCCTGAAGTTGATATAACAAAGGCCCCCTCCTGGAATGTTGACCCATGTTTTATGAAGAAGTCCGGAAGAAAGAGATATTCTGTTGCTATAGCAATTGAAAAGCACACAAGACTGCATAAAAAGAATAAAAATGAAACATTACTTATAACATGGTAGACACTCGTTTCATCCCGACATATTGATGTCATATTTCTCTTTGCGGGTTGTTCCTTTCCGACACGATGCTTTCTCTTGCGCTCTATGTCAGACGGACGCATTAAGCATTCCGGCAATGCATACATGAAGTGTTATTCCTCCAGTGATAAGGAAGGCTCCGTGGACTCCATATGTTTCGGTCAAAAACTGCAAGAGTGGGGGGTGTATGAAAATCCCAAGTCCAATTCCTGAAATAGATATTCCCGTAACCAGACCTGATTTTACAGGGAAGTAAAAGCCAATAATGACGAAACTTCCAGTTTGTGCCAAACCTGTGCCAAGACCTGAAATATGAACGGCAACATTTCAATGTTTTATTTTTTTATTTGATCAAGTTTGGTATATAGAATACATGAAAACCAAAAGGGTGACCCAACATTTACTGGCATAGTATCAATGTATCATCACTATATGTTGGTGATTCATAAACACATTATTATGGTTTATTTAATACTTGCAAGCATACACTGGGCACCCCTTAAAGTAGATATTTCTTATTGTCGCTGTTAATTTCACTCTGAAACACGTTTATGTGCGACTTTTGGAATTGTGTGCCTTAAAGACTAAAATCAACAATATGCGAATTTTGAGAATATCACTTTGCTACCAATAGTTAAATATCCCAAGTGTTTAGCAGGATCATGTGTCTTTTCATACGGTAAATAATGTCCCGAAGTGTTTCCAAATATGTTGTCTATTTTTGCCTTTGAACTTTTTTGAACGTACTGTAACATTGGCGTAACTCAGGAACATGCTGTTAGTTACTTTGCGTCAAATACATAACTAAAATATTCGGACTTTCATAGAGGGACAGCTTTTGATATTCTTCTATTTTTCATCATTCCTTTAAGAAGAAAACGTTAAAGGTTACTTTCAGTTTGTGCGGTAGAGGATTAAGAACAAACTAGATGGCAGTCTCCCAATTGGAACACGGGGCTGAGTCCACATACCTGCAATTAAGGAATAGGTTACGAACAATGTCCTTATTTCAGTCACAAAACAGCTGGCTGAGAACCCAACCATCATCAAGACACCAGAAATCACGACACACGTTCTGCAGTCAAACACATTGATGACCATGCTGGCAATCGGTCCTGAAATAACAGGAAATATGTACTTACAGCATCAAAGTATACCATGAGCATTGGTAAGTGAAACTGACATAATCAGCAACTTGCCTTTTTTATTCAAGTTTCGCTAGTTTCTTTTCTGTGAGAGCAAACACGCAAATATTGATAAGGGCATCATTTTGTGAGGGTGTGTTTTACGTAGCCACAAAATTCTGAAAATGGGTCGTCGGTCGGAAAGAAAAAAACAAACAGAAACAAACAAACAAAAATAAAACAAAACTTAATAAAGACAAAACTAACGGAGTAGCTTCTTGATTTTCATGTATTGTAATTCTGATTACAATTTCTTGCATTCTCTGGACTTGTGGCAGCGACTGATTAAACGATTGGGTTAAATGATAAGCTCATCCTAAATATATCTACATGTATTAATACAATATACATTAATGACATTCTTGCAGATAAATCGATTTGGTTTTGTCTCCTATGCCAGTAGCCGACATTATGACCGGTCTCTTGAAAAGGCACATTACTCTGATTTTCTTTGTGTGGTAACATTTTATATGATGAGGCGGTTCGTTCTAGGTTCGAGTCGGCGGTGTTGCAATGGACAAAAAAGGTGTTGCTTTTTCTGGTCGGCAATATATACTGAGTCAAAAAAGAAACTTCACAAAATGTAATTTAAAAAATAAAGAATAATTTTTCTCTGATGATACATCTATGTCTCCGAAATGGGATCCCTATCTTTCGACTCTAGAAAAACGTTAGCAAAACCCACTCAAACCCATCCATTCGTCGTGCAAATGACGTTAGTGTCAAATCAGGTTTTGCACATGCAGTCGATCACGTGATCTTCGCATCGAAGTTTTCTTCATATGCATGTGTTTGCATTCGCCTCAAGAATTGAAAAAAACACTTTTAAACCACAGTTCTAACGGTACTTGAAATGCCACGATTGTCAAATGTGCAACGTGAACGTGCCGTTGGCATGTTGCAAATGGGAAAATCAGTTATTGACGTTGCAAGAGCAATGGGATGCAGACTTCATACTTGCGAGGTCGTCTACAACAAACTGGCACCACTTCTGATCGCCCAAGGTCGTGTCGTACACGTGTGACGTCACGAGCAGAAGACCGTCAAATCGTCCTATATCACCTACGTGACAGATTTCTGCCGGCTACAAGAACCAGGGCTGAGATGTTTAGAGGTCGACTGTCCTCAGAGACCATTCGAAATCGGTTGCGGGCTGCCAATCTGCATTCTCGACGTCCATATCGTGGGCCAATATCGACGCCGTTTCATCAACGTCAACGCCTGCTGTGGGCCCTTCGTCATCTCCGATGGATCCAGAAAGACTGGAATTGAGTCATCTCTAGCGATGAATCCAGGTTTACCCTCAGATTCGCGGACGGCAGGCATAGTGTCTGGAGACGACGTCGTGAACAGTATGCCCAATGTTGTGTACAGGAACTCGACAGATTCGAGGATGGAAGTTGCATGGTGTGGGGTGCTTTCTGTGGGAACACCCTATCCCGACTTCTGGTCATCCGTGGAAAACTCACAGCTGCTGCTTACCGCGACCAGGTGCTCACCCCTGAACTCGTTCCTTTCATGGCGGCTCATGGCCCAGGTCTACAGTTCCAGCATGATAATGCTCGGCCGCATACCGCGATGTTGACACGAAATTTCCTTCAAAACGCTGGAATCAACGTCATGGACTGGCCATCGAGGTCCCCTGACCTTAATCCAATAGAGCAAGTTTGGGTTGCACTTGGGAGAAGGCTTCATGGTCTTAGGAACCAACCTCAGAATTTGCAGGAATCTTGGCGCTGCCTTGCAAGAGCAATGGCACAGAATCCCTAACCACGTGTTCACAAGCATCAGGCAGTCGATGAGGAGACGGTGTTTGGCAGTGGTGAATGCGCGGGGCGGCCATACACGATATTGAACTTAGAAATTTCCCAGTTTTATTCTTGAGTCTTGACATTCTGTATACCCGTGTTTTGGAACAGCGGTGTAGCCTAATGGAGCTGATTATGGCACTGTCAGTGTATCGAGTACATCACGGAGATCTCATAAAACAAATTTAACCATCTTACCATCTCTCGTTCTTTTATAGTGCCCTGAAGAAAGAACCTGAAGTTTCTTTTTTGACTCAGTATAATTAGGGTCAGTCGGGCGATGAGATACACAGAAAATAATAATGCTGCCCTAAATGAAACTGACATAAGTCATTTAGTAACTTGCCTTTTTTATTCAAGTTTCGTCAGATGCTTAACTGTGAGAGCAAATCTGCAAACATTGGTAAATAAAACTGACATAATAAATATAGCAAATTGCCTTCTTTATTGAGATTTCGTCAGTTCCTTACCTGTGAGAGCAAACATGCAGGAAAAGAGAGATCCAACCCATGCTGTTATCGTCACATCCTCCTGGAATCTTTCGAGCAAAGCTACGTGGATTACTCCGCTTGCAAACACGATGCTTGGTCCACAGAGCATCGTTGTAAAGGACGCAAAGAGAACAACTGCTGGATAAATACTCTGTTTCGCCATGTCGGTGTTCAAGGGTTTTGTGTTCTGAAAATATTGATTAATATTAATATGATTTATCTGTCAAATGTTGCAACTGTTGCCAATCACAGCAATCAACACCTATTTATACTTGTCGTTGGATATTTACATAGTGCACATATCCACGCCCTAGTGCATGCTCAAGGCACTGGTATGTTTCCCTCAATCATTGGATGTCAATCTCAACGGCACATCTTATTATCAAGATCAACTCCCTGGGGATCATACAACTCTTGCAGCCACACCGAGTTATTGCGGCTTTCCCATCCTTATGAGGTACCCCTTAACAGGTGGATGGACTGGGACACGTAGTTCGCCATACCGATGGCCAAGGGTTTGTGTTCTGAAAATATTGACTATTTATAGCATGATCTGTCCACTGTTGAGTAGTATATACAATGATAGTCCGAGATCAAGTCCAACAAAAGCCTCTGTAAAGCTTTATTTCACAATTAAAGCTTTTGTCAGGCCCTTAGATCTCGCCCCCTATTGTATATACTACTTTGAATCCCCAGTTAACTTCCCGGTCACTATGACTGCGAACTTACACTTTCCTGATCATGTGATAGCTCTATGTTGTGTTGACAGGATACCATTAAGATTACTCGACAAGGTAAGTGTTAAATATTTTGCTTGGGGGGTAACATTGTGCCGTACGGTATGATTAATAATTCCTCTCTAACGAAACCTCTCCCTGGCCCATCTCTCAAGTAGTACAAGTTCGGGTCGTCAGCTTTGATGTCCACTTTATCTATGTTGTAAGTTTTGACTAACCATATCGGATCGGTTGCTCGTTTCCGAGTGTCCCCTTCGTGTTCCCCCCGCTGGTAGAGGTACCTCACGAGGGCAGTATTGGGTATCTGTTTCTCCTTCCCACGCGATGGTGCAGCCGGTTTGGCTATCACTGATTTCAGTTTGATAGCGTCGGCTGGTTTCTTGCCGGTGAGACGGGTGGTTTCGTGGTTGATAGCCGACACCACCTGAGGTAGCCGCACTACCCATTCCGTCTATCGTTTTCCCAGGTTGGCCATCTCTCTCACATACTGATGCCTGAATAAGCGCTCGGCCAAAGTCTTATTGAATCTCTCAACTATGGCTTGACTGCGATGAGCCCCGGCAGCGCCACGCCTTACCTTGGTATCGTGTTTGGCTAGCAGTTGTGACATGGCACCCATGAACTCACGCCCGGGGTCGACTTGCAGCTCTGTGGGCCATGTCAGCAGACTGCGTTTGTATATGCGTTCGAATCCGCGGGCTACCTGGGCCGAGTCTTTCGCGGTTAAGGGTTCGGCTATTTTGTAGCGGCTGGCCACGTCCACGATGGTTAGGGCATACTTGTGCCTCTTGTCGTGGGGTAGGAACAGGAGGACGGCCTGGTGGGCGCTATTGGATACGGTAATGCCGAACCTTCTTTGAGGCACGTAGCGTGGTGCCGGTAAATAGATCTGCCACAGGGCTTGTTTTTCAAGCCATGCTTTGGCCTCATCTGGGGGGTACTTGCGTCATTTTAGCCAGCTTATGTATGGCGCTAGCTCCTTTCCAGTACGCTAGCGGGCTGTAGTAAATAGCCTCAAACTTTCTTTGGTTCCATGACATCGTTGTCGACAGGGTATTTATAAATACACCTATGTTCTTGGTTCAATTTTCTCATGCCCGTACGCGTACGTGTTGATCCCGTCGATGGCTATCCATCGCTTCGTGTCCATCTTGTCCTTCATCTTGCTGAGCACTTTTTTATTTACCGTCTGTGTATGGCATGGTCCTCGGGGTAGTCCCTGGTGTCGTCAGTTCGAGGAGTTTCTTCATGTCCTCGTACACGTCCTCGGTTCGAATCTCCATCAGCAGGGAATCCGTGTCTGTGTACAGCACTTCACACCTGTCGCCGTACTGCTTCTTGAGCTCTTTGTAGTAAAAGTCGTACATCAGGTGTTTGGATAAATCGAGGATGCTCATCCACAAGTAAACAGGCCGGTTGACTTTTATGTGGCTCTTCTTCATGTACAGGGCCACCAGGTCCTTGGTGAATATCTTGCTCCGGTTGAATGCCAGGCTGGCTATCAGTTTCCTGAGCTTGTCTTCCTCTTTCGACCGAACCAGCTTCACGGTTACGTGCTTCCTCAGGTTCTCCATCGTCTTACCGAACACCGAGTTGTTCATGAGCTTGTAGAGGTTTTTCTCAAAGTCACTGGTGGCCAGCTTTCGCAGGTCTGTGTTCATTCTGATGTATGGCTCCATCCAGGGGCTCTGGTCGAACACGAGCACCCTGTGTATTTTGGTCAGCCTCATATCCAGCGACAGGTACAGCTGTAGGTTGTGATAGTGAACGATGTACTTGGTCTTATTCATTAAGTTGGGCACGAGTTTTTCAACGTCTGCCACCCGCCCACCCAGCATGTTATGTTGGTACTCGGACATCCAGTCTGGGTTAACCCCTCAAACGTTCGGGGGCCAGGGGGTGCAATGCCTTGGGGTATTCCAAGTCCACTTTGAGGATATAGCCTTTGTTCGCATCCGGCGCGATGCTCATAACATCGATCTCGGGTGATGCCCATTCGAATCCCCCTGCGGGTAGATACTGGCTCATGGTCCAGCCGAACAGGTTGTTGGCATCGAGGTAGAGGATGTGATTGGTTGGCTTGCTCGAGTCGTAGCCCTTCACGTATTGATTATTGACGTAGCGTTTGGCAGCCATGGAGATCCCACCTCGCAAGCCTTTCTCAATGAACAGGTGCATGTCGTAATTGCTGAGCAATTCCAACTTAACTCCGGTTTTCTTCAGCAAGGCATCCCAAGATAGACCTGGGCTGGTGTAGTACCATGCGGGGTCGAGCTGATACTGCTTTCCCTCTAAACGTCTCGAACACGTCGGCTAGCAGGAGAACGTCTGTTCTCAAGTACAGGTCATGGTAGTCACCCAGATTCTTACAGCCTAGTTTATTCCATACGTTAATCACGTGCGAGTAATCGTCTTGGGTGATTGTCGAGTCGGTCAGGCTGCTGTAAAATCGGCCGATGGGAGGCAGTCGGGTCTCGGCGAACTTGGCCCGGCCATCCATGTACTCGTAGGGGTACACGCCCTTCCTCATCAGCAGGGGTCGAGTCTCGGCGTCTGTGTATCGATCAGCGATGGGGAAGGTATCGTTGGCCTTGACCAGACTGTCGAGTGACGACAGGAGGAACTGAACCGAGTCGATGAACCTCAGGCCGTTTAGGGAGAAGGAGATGTATCTCTCCATGTTGTTGGGGATGCACGTCAGGTTGCCGTCGACCTTCGCGATGGCCTGCATGATCAAGTGAGAGTCGTACCCTCTCAAGTTGTGGAGTGAGTGAGTGAGTTAAAATTTAACGTCACATCGGCAATATTTCAGCCATATCGTGATGAGAACGATTAATTTTACGCATAGTAAGCAATGGTAAACTATAAAAAAACTGTCAGCAAAGGACTGTAAAACAACTAGATTATCACACATTGAGTTAAAACGAGCTAGCATATATCTTTAAAAGTACAAAACTATTTTTGGACAATACAACATGAAAATGGGCTATAAATGGCCAACAACTGAAGGTAGGTCACCATACTAGGAACCCTGGGGACTTACATTACTTTTGCTACCTGCCCGGATCCTAGGGCGGTGGTAGGACACTTTAGCCAACAGTTAAAATAACAAAAATACTACGTTTAAAAAGTGATAACTGATATTTTACTTTGAAAGTTTTGGGACTTACGTACCCTCTCAGGAGGACAATAATTTTACGGTACTTTAACCCCCTTTGAGGGTACAGCCACTAACAATCTAAGTTAACAATCTAAACTACCAATCATTAAAATACATCTATTTACAGAACATAGTAATCAAAAATCATTAATCAAATCAATTTCTTTTACAAAACCAAGAATTAAATGAACATGAACAGTGTTAAAAAGATCCTTAACAGTTTTAACATTGAAATATTTATCCCTTATGATGGAGAATTCGACACAGTCAAGCAGGAGATGCTTGACTGTGACTCTCTCATCACAAGGGATACAAAACGGAGGATCTTCACCTTTCAACAAGTATGTGTGAGTATACCTTGTATGGCCAATGCAACATCGTCGCATAATGACCTCCTCAAATCTGGACTGACAACCCAAGTGAGTGTAACCAATGTAAGGTTTTATTTCATGTAGTTTATTAATACCCACTTGGGTGTCCCACTTCTTCTGCATCAGATCACGGATGTAAGTTCTAATGCCAGCTTTGTAATCAGAATATGGAATAAGAAGTGGTGTCACAGATTTATTAAGTGCTGCCTTGGCAGCAAGATCAGCCATTGTGTTCCCAGAAATGCCAACGTGGCTGGGCAACCAACAAAAGACGATGTCGCACTGGCCAGTAGCAAGCTCATTATACAATTCAATAATTTCTAATAAAAGTGGTTGTGTACGAGAAAGATTTTTAATAGCCTGTAGACACGAAAGAGAATCTGAAAATATTATATATTGTTTATATTTACGGTGTTTATTAATATATTTAAGAGCTGTTAATATGGCATTAGCTTCTGCTGTGACAATAGAGCTGTTATCTGATAGTCGAAAGGAGTTGTTCTGGATCCAATGACAGTGGCACAAGCCACCGCGTCACCATCCTTGGACCCATCTGTAAATAAGGATTTATATGTATTATATTTACTTTTTAATTGATTATATTCTTGTTTATATTGTAATTCGTTAATTACTGATTTCTTAAACTTTGTCAGTGTTAGGTCAACTTGTGGCCTCACTAATTGCCAAGGAGGAGAAGAAAGAAGACGGGAAGGAGATATATTCTCCAAATCAATCCCAGCAGCAAAAATATATTGTTGGATTCGTATCCAAAGAGGTGGAACAAGTGAGGGTTTTTTATTATACAAATCCTCATAAAGAGGATTAAAAACGCAAGTGTGAGCAGGATTGGATTCATTAGATTATAACTTTGTGATATATTGTAGGGACAATTTGATACGGCGAAGTTTTAAAGAAGGCT